AGATAACTGAAAGTTTTATAAGATCAGCGCCCCGTTTAAAACATGGTCACGTTGTCGTCACGTGGGCGACGCTGTGAAAACGTATTCCTAAAATTTTGAGTATTTTGAATGAAAAATGAAAAGAATTCTATTTTGAACTAAAATTTATATGTAAGCTTGACGAGCATTAATCTCGCTAGAAAAGGGGAAATATTATATATACAATATAATAACTTTTATAATCCATAGCCCAAATAAATAGTTTAAATACCCTACAAAAAAGATAACCCTTTATGAAGTCGTCAAAAAACAAACGTTACGGCAAATTTTTTTATATGCACAAATCCCTTTCATAGAAAATAAATAAAAAAATAAATAAATCTCCATAGACACGCAAACCAGACTAGAGTTATACTTCTTCCGTTCCAAATTTAGACACCCACCACCTTTCCCTGACTTGACATCTAGGAAAGTTACTCTATACTGATACTTATTATTAACACCCAACACACGCCTACCCAATTTAAACAATTCGCCTTAGCTGTTACCATGGCAATTTTGATTTCAATTATTAAAACACGTAAATTTCAGAAATACGTTATTCCAAAAAAAATTTCGCTTGATGATGGAACAGAGCTTACTTTAACTCAATTTAATTCAAATAATTATATTGAATTTTTCGGCTCTTGTTTTGAAACATGAGACCTCTTATGTCGCGAGTTGGAATCATATTTTTAAATAAATAATTATATTTATTCTCTACTTTTGTATCGAGCACTATTTTTTAAAAATAATAACTAAAATACTAAGGAACTTTGGATTATTTAGCTAACCAGTTCCTTCCTATTTTCTATATATTTTCACACACACACACACACACACACACACACACACACACACACACACATATATACATTTATATATATATATATATATAGATTTTAAAATCATGAATTACACAAATATCTATCACCCTATAAATGATACAGGGTGATAGGTATTTGTGTAATTCATGAGTTTAAAGGTCTGTGCGTGCGCATGCGTGCGCGAAAACTCTCCAGACCGACGCGCCCATTTTGATGAGGTTAATCAGAGAAGCGATATTATCAGGTCAAACACCTGAGTGCACTGAACCGGAAGTGCCGAAGGACCATTACGGAGACGTATCGTCGCCATTTTGTTATGGTGACGTTTGTTTCTGCGCCTTGTTTTTCTTTTTTTATTATTTTTTTAATTCTATTATTTATTTATTTATTTTTTACACACTGATAAGCTAAGTGCCTTCTGATTTTGTTATCTTTTTGCAATTCAAGTGTCTTTATGAGGCTGAGAGACACAGTTTGCGCTGGGAGGTAAGTTATAAGTCTATATATAGTAAACCTTCGATTTAACGAGGTGGAGAGCGTGTGTCTGTTAAGGTCAAAGGTCCGTTAAATCATTTACCATTGGAGGTCATTTTTAACTATTATTTTATTGAATGCAAAAATAGCGTTATATATATATATAAAAACCATATTTTAAATCAATTAATTTATAATATTAATGCTCTGTAAATTTACATTGAGCACTATTTTGTAAAAAAAAAAAAAAAATAAATAAATAAAATTAAAAATATCTATAAGAACACCGGATTTTATAGCGAAAAAAAAAACATATTTTAAATCAATTAATTTATAATATTAATGCTCTGTAAATTTACATTGAGCACTATTTTGTAAAAATAAAAATATCTATAAGAACACCGGATTTTATATCTTACTGTTCTTTCTTTTATTTATATACATACATACATATATATATATATATATATATATATATATATATATATATATATATATATATATATATATATATATATATATTTATTAATGGCCTGATGTTGCGTCAGCCATGAAACAGATTGTCGCCTCTGTTCATTGATATATATATATATATATATATATATATATATATATATATATATATATATATATATATATATATATGTATATATATATATATATATATATATAGTACATATATATGTATATATATATATATATATATATATATATACATATAAATATAGATAACTAGACTCGTTTCGAAAAACCTCGAATTTTTGATTTGCTAATCAAATCAATCTCGAGGGAAAAAGGTTTTAAAAAAAAAAGAGCTACAAACATGAACTTCTGCCGACAAAAAAATCGCACAGATGCAGGTCTGAAGCCCAAAGAAAAACCCTGATACGAGTAACAACTAACTAACAAAAGAGCTCAATACAACCGTAGAGCAGACCTAGATACACCTAGTGAGCCAGACAAACCCTTTAGGTTTCACCTAAACGGATCGTCAGGAAACCTTCCTGACGATCCGTTTAGGTGTAACCTAAAGGTGTATCTATCTATCTATCTATCTATCTATCTATCTATCTATCTATATCTATATATATATATATATAGTCGTTTGGCGCAAGTAAAGCGATAATGCTACAAAGACACAAGGAATTACTGTGTAAGAAAAAAATTAGTAGAAAAAGTGAATAACAGACCAAAAATCAGGTAGACAGAATCTCGTGAATGACGTTCCATTTACATTTTTGAAGGTCGTGGTGGGAGGGAAGTAAGAAAACAGAATAGAGTTCCACAGGCAAGGAGTACAAGTGAAGAAACTGCTAGAACAGAACTTACGCTTACATATCGCTATTTCGACAGTAAAACCGTGTCATCATGTTGCCGGTCTAGAAGTACGCTTAAATTCATGCGGTTGGAGTATCAGGGATGGAAGGTCATTAGAACACTTACTAATAATCAATACACGGACGAATGGTATATATATATATATATATATATATATATATATATATATAAATATAAATATATAAAAATAAAATAAAATAAAGGAAACGTATATCAACCTAACATGTTTCACTTTTATTAAAGCTTTGTCAGAGATTGAGAGAAAATAGACAAAAGACAGCTCTAGATTAATATATGTTTCTTATTTGTTCTTTTTATGTTATCAACCTCTCGGGTTACGATCCATATTTGATCTGCATTAGATCTATATCTATCTCTCTCTCTCTCTCTCTCTCTCTATATATATATATATATATATATATATATATATATATAGATAGATAGATAGAATTGATATTTGATCTGCATTAGATCTCTGTATCTATCTATCTATCTATCTATCTATCTATCTATCTATATATATATATATATACATATATATATATATATATATATATATATATATATATAGATAGATAGATAGATAGATAGATAGAGAGAGAGAGAGAGAGATTGATAGATATTAGTGAATATACATAATATTCAACGCCGATAGCACGAACCACCACCAGAAGATTGCAGGTTTGCATGAAACTCCGGTTCGAGCTATCGACGTTGGATACTATGTATATTCACTAATATATACCTAATATCTCTGTTATATAACATCAGGCACTCTATTTTAACACATGAGAAAAAAATATACATGTGTACATGCAAGTAAATTCCTTTTTTATATCATACCCCATATATATATATATATATATATATATATATATATATATATATATCCAAATTTCTTTTTTATATCATACCCCCCATATATATATATATATATATATATATATATTTCGATAAACGTGCAATCAATTTACAAATTCATGAATTATTCACACAAAAACAAATGCAAAGGTTAATGATTTAATTGGCGAGAAATCCATCGTCGCAAACAATTCAAATAATATACAAAAACCTCCGAATCCGTTATGAATGAAAAGATCCTTGTTTCTATAAATTTCTGCCGCATTAGTTCTTATTTTTACTACAAGCTTTCGTCTGTTCCTACAGACATCTTCAGGTATGGAATAGATGTTGTTCTTGTTTTTTCTCTCAGTAATAAGAGGACAACGAAAATATATGTATGAAATAAATCATTTCCAATAGCATTTGACAGAAAATTTACCAGTAAAAAATTCGTTTATCACCATATTTGTACATGAACGTACAACTGTAAAAAAAATTTAAAATCAAACTCGGAGTTGCTACTGCACGCTCCAAAAACAATAACTCATTTCCAATAGCATTTTCGGATACAACAATACATATATTTTAATAAAGGATGAATTTACCACCCTTCAATTTCTGATGGATATTTAGGTTTTTGAGTGTAGGAAGGGCTTTTCAGCACCCACTTCTTACACAAAGTATATCCACATTATTTCTGAAATGTAGGTTATCTGAGATACCGGTCTATTGCGTGAGATAATTGGTCGGCCAAGATTACTTTCAGACAAATGAGAGTCTCCGGTGGGAAGGTCTGGCCGATACTGTAAGGAGGCCTTGCGCTGCGGAAATAACAGGACACCTCCATCCCGGCCAAACCGACGACATCTAGTGGATTGAAAGGCATTTCGGCTCTATTTATTGATTGATTTGTTTTTACGGCTTATCAGGTTATTTAAAGCCAGAACATATTTCTACACTGTAAGAATTTTTCTTAAATAATAATTTAGTGATACAAGTCATACTAATTAACCCATAGCTGGGGGAGAAGAAGTGGATTCATATCTAACCAATTTGATAACAAGAAATTATAATGTGGGTATAAAGTGGGGATCAATTCTATATTACAATCAATATATAAATTGATCATTCACTTTGTGGCCATGGTAGTTTCTATACCTTTATTTTCCAGAGAATATAAATAAATCTAAAAGTCATGCCTGTCTAGCTAATCAGTATTTCATTGATTGATTGATTCGTATGTTTTCTACGGTTTATCAACCCTTTGCATGTTATTTAAAGCCAGAAATCTTTTTTGAAATAATAATAATTTAGTGATACAAGTCTTACTAATTAATCCATATCTAGGGAGAGAAGATGTGTATTCATACCTTTCACTAGGATATTTGCGCATAAGTGAATATAAGGAATCCAGCTAGAATTTGAACTCGCCTCTCCGATTAACAATTCTTAGCCCTTATCTGTTACACCACCCACACATCCAAGCTTACATTACCTGTAATGCGGTCACCCATCTAGGTTCTGCCCAGGCTCAACGTTGCTTATTTTCGGTGATCGTACGGAAACCGGTGTTTAAACGTGATATGGCCATAAGCCTCATTTCGGTTCTGACTGTCTTGACTGCAGGAATTGCCAGAAGGTTAATTTTGACAGCCAACCGCCTTAGACGATGTAGTGGACATTTCTGATAATATAAAAATAAAATATTTTCTTTTACTAATGTTCACCCTATATAAGGCCCAAGAGACACTCAAGTTATAGGATTACTGAAGGTATTTGTTTTTCGAGCGATAAGATAGAGAGCACAGTTTATGTTAATGTGTGGGGAATATAACGATTACTCTTAGACTTGAAGAGGTTCAAATTGTAGGGTATGTGAAAGCGATCTCCTGGGATTCTGGTTCACAAAGCAGCAGTTCTTGGAACTTACTCCTTACAAATGGAATATGAAGGAAATAGTAAGTGGCATGGTGGGTCTTAGATACGAGGTTTAGAGTTCGAGCAACTAAGGGACGTAACTCGTTTGAATATTTGAAAATTGAAATAACAGTAGAGTCGCCATAGGTTTCCAACGTTTCATCTGTGGGAAAAGATGTTGTAAGGTAGAAAATAATTCATTACCCACAAGGTCGTTTAGATGGTTTGGGATTCTGCCAAGACTGGAAAGTAAAGACTGGGCATCACCAGCCCAAATATGGCAGCAGTACGCTAGCCTCTGGCTCTTATAAAGGTAGAGCATATCAAGAGGAGTCAGGTACTTACTGGAGCGGTATAGGGAACAGATCATTTTTTTCAGCATCTTTAGAGATGGATCGTATATATAAGTTCCACTTGGGGTTTTGGGCGAGTTTAAGTTCCAATTGGCATTCAAGGCAAGGGAACTTCTTGAAGGAACACTCGTTCACTGCGATAGACGGAAATTTATGGGTGATGACGGAACGTTAAAAGTTTGGTTTTTGAGCTATTGAATGTGAGCAGCAAGTTTTTCCCCCATTGTATTCTTAAAGGTAAGTCATACCGTTATATCATCTGCAGAGATATTCACAAGAGACCGTAGTATGCTGTTAGTCAGTCAGTTAATCAGTTAATCATGATACATGACTGTCGAGGCAGAAGATTTTCCTGCGGTAAGTTGCCATTTATTTCTGACTCTGTTGTGGTAGGATCCACCTAATTTGCATAGTGGAGTACCGACCATATAAATATGGTTGGTACCGGGAAGACGAGGAGAGGAATCAAGAGATTCAATCCAGAGACTCTGCCCGACTGCGACTAAGTCAACACATTCTCCAGGAACGGTCTTCCCAAGAATATACAAAAGACTATATGTAAATATTGTGTACACTTTCTTGTTTCAATACATTTTGTTCTAAGTACATTTTGTGTTGTATTATTATTCCATGCATTAGTCAAGTTTCAACAGACTCAAACCATAACAAGGAGACGAGATGGATTCTTATATTTCCCAGGAGTATTTGTGCGTAAGTGAGATTCGAACTCGGCTCTCCGAGTATCCATTACATCACAACGCAGATCATTAATATGGGAATATAGGAAAAGTCTTGAAGCAAGAAGCGAACCTTGGAGGACACCTGGATTAATCTTATGAGGTGAATATTAACAGCTACATTCATGGCCCTATTTAATACGATGGACTTAGTAATTGGGAAAGCTCTTCTGGAGAGCTTATGTAGCAATCTCCTATGTTACATCGTGTCAAGACATTCGGTATGTCTAAGGCGATCGCCCTTGTGATATTTCTATTGTCTAATGACTCGTTGATTTCGTTTCTAAATATATAACGCTATAGGAGGTATGAACAGTCCCCATTTTTGCTGGAACTGTGAACTAAACAGAAGACTAAATTTGTCCTCTTGTCTTCAATATAACAATTATAAAAATGTTAATTAATAGTATATTTAATAGTATATATATATATATATATATATATATATATATATATATATTATATATATATATATATATATATATATATATATATATATATAAGATATATATATATATGCTAAATATAGTTAATATATATATATATATATATATATATATATATATATATATTTATGAAGAATTTGGTAAACCAATTGGTAAATCCAAGGAGGATGAAATCCTGAGAGCTCAATGTGAAGAACAGAGCTAATAATTAATGAACAACAGACCACTTTAAGGTACCATTACAATAATTTATTTCACCAAAATCCTTTTTAAAGGATTTCGGATCATCAGGTAACACTTCCAACAATGAATATATATATATATATATATATATATATATATAGTAAATAGTCAATTAACTATCTTCTATAACATTGTTATTCAGATGAGCTGTATCATTAGTTTAAAATTAATCCCTGTCACTAATTTTCCAAATAAATCAGAAAAAAATCCCTTTCCCCCCTTTCTTTAGATTTGTACAATGTATATATGTGTATAGGAGGAGGCGCGGTGGAGTAATGGATAGCGACTCGGATGGCAACTGGTCTACCGCAGAAAAAAATGGTAACCTACTGCGGGAAAAAAATCTATCTCGTCAATCATGTATCGACAGATACATGATCGCCTAAACGTGTATCACGCATGGCACATAACTGACTGATATATGCATCAGTTCCCTCTATCCTTTCGCCAGACAGCGAGACAGGCTGGTCCACTCCTCTCTCCCTTCCTTTTTATCTTTCCTTCACTGCTCTCTCTCTCTCTCACGCTCTCATTAAAATGCTGAGAAATCATGTTTGAGACGAGAAATAATGCTTGAGAAAGAGAGAGAGAGAGAGGAGGGACGAGAGAGGGGATGAAACAGATAGTGTGAGAGGCAGAAAGGGAGGGATATGGAGAGAGAGACCCTTCGCCTTTGTAGTAGACATTAGTCCTGATTAATTCTTTGGTGGTTAGAGTTCTGTTTAAAGGGTAGAGAAAACTGACTTTGAAGCCCTATTTTCTTGGGTTTATATTGACACCGGTAAGTAGTCGAGGATTTCGCTGAGTGCATGTAGGATTATTCTTCGCTTTGATACCGGGTCTCTGATCTTTTGTTTTGTTTATCCAGGTATCTGGTTTCAGAAATGAAATTAGCTGTTTGACATACCCTTAAGAATGCCAGTGTTAATTTTAATGAGGTGTACAGGAGATAAGATAATACTTTTCAGTGGCTTTAAAAAATATTTTTCATTTTATTTATTAAACTTTGCTTACTACTACAAGTTAAAGCATCCTATGTTTACATTAGCAGTAAAATGTTGAATTTGCACGTGTATATCAAGGTCACTGTTGTGTATGACTCCAATGTACAAAAAAATTTTAAAAATACTACGGGATTTCCGTGGATTCCCGCTGGTAATAATTATTAATTATTATTTTTAGTTTAATGAATGCCGCCATTTTTAACACCATGAGTTAAGCAATTTTTAGCAGTTGAATTAAAAATATGTAATGTCTCTTCAAGATATTGTTTTTTCAATCATTAAAAATATCGAAAGAAAAGCCGGTTCCAAAAAAAGAAGGCAATATATTAATAACCGTGTCTCATTATGGTAATGGTCGTTTCCTTATAAGGAAGCATTCGGCATTCAGTGACCAAACAGCCAGTGCCACTGTCGGATGAAATTTATAAAATATTTATTACCCCCCCCCAAAAAAAAAACAAATCAGGAAGCTAGGTTTCTTCTTATTGCTCTTTCTAGTATTGATTGGGGTTGCCTTCCTAACTTTTAATTGAAGTAGTATCGATCTTCAACATCTTGATTATGTCATTATTTTCTCTTTGAGTTACATGTGCTATCCATTTTAGTTGTTGCCGCTGTTGATATTATTCAAGTGATGATGTTTTTGTTATTTGGTACAGTTCTTTGTTTATGATTATGTAGCGCCAGTCTGTGCAGTTCAAAGAAGGACGAGCTTCAATCGCTCAAAGCCATTCTAACTATTTATTTTAGAAAGCGGTTGTATATAGCTGACAGTTTAGATATTTCTGAACTGGTTTGGCACCATGCATGACATCCATATGAAAATCTCGATCTGACGAGGCTATTAAAGAACATTTTCAGGATAATGTTTTGGTTTTGTAGCAATTGGTGGTATTGGGTGAAACTATCTCTAGCACAGCTTAACCTATGTTCAATTTACTTCTATACTAAATTTGTTATATCTGATTTATACAAAGAAGTATTTGAAGTGTTTAGTATTTAGTATTTACTAAATCTCGTCCTGAGTAAGACGATAAACTACATTCAATGTCTCTGATATTGAGGCTTTTGAGAAGTGTGGAACCACCACATAATTGCTGCTGTTCCTAGGTCCACCCTGACCCGGGGTGGTAGCACCTTTTAGGGTCCCAGCTATGGGGAAATAGTGAGCCCCCAAACTGGAGTCAAAATACTATGAAAGTGAAAGTGTAAAAATAGGTTTTAATAGCAATACATTTTTGAAGTAAGAAAAAAAGAAGGCTGAATTCAAAGTTTATATAAAATGTTTTCGCTGAAAACATTTGCACATATTTAATAATATTTCCTCGTGTATTATTCACTTGTACGCAAATTGATGATCGTTGTTAATCAATTATGTCGGGTCAGGCCTAAACAATCGATTGTTTTTATTCGGCTTTCTACCGGGATGAGAGCTTTCGGTGAATCATAAAGTGGGAAAACAGGGTCAGTGCGCTGAAATTCACAATACGATACGAAATTGAACCAAAAAGCCTTTGTTGTAAGGGAACTGGGGGCGAAAGGGAAATTTGATGAAATAATTACACACAATCGAGTTTATAATATCGACATCTATTATCAATCTATCTTAACATTTTTATTTCTTACTTTCTATCTATCTATCTATCTATCTATCTATCTATCTATCTATCTATCACAGTCTAGTCTTATCTATCTATCTATCTATCTATCTATCTATCTATCTATCTATCTATCTATCACAGTCTAGTCTTATCTATCTATCTATCTATCTATCTATCTATCTATCTATCTATACTGTGTCATCTAAATATCCTATGTTGTTAAGATTGCGACTGTCGGTAATGAATCCTGAAAGGTCGAATAAGTCTGGTGAGATGACACATCCTTGTCTTACATTCCATGACCAGTATTTGATCTTTTTTGGTGAAAAAGAAAATGTACAAGAAATATGGGAAAATACACGTACAAATAATTCATCGTTCAGTCCAAATTTCGGCCAGAGACTGTTTATGACCACTCCTCAGAATCAAAGCAATCACAACGTGGCTGGAGGGTGGCTTCGAATTGACATTGGGAACCGGAGACTTGTGATCCCCCCGGGTGATTCCTCACCCCCGGGGTGATTTACCTCCACCGCCTTTGAGCCCCCCACCCCCAGGGTGATTCCCCATCTCCGGTTGAGAACCCCTGCACTAGTGGTTAAATGTGTATGTTAGTCCTTTCTTTTTCTTTCTTTTTCAGCTTATATGAATTATTTCTTTGATTAAATTTCTTTTCTTCTGAAGTGCACAGTACAATAATTTCTTTGTGTCATTGTATTTGTTAAAGGCCGGCAAGCAGTTCTTTTTGTCGGCCTTTAGCTTATTATTAGGATTCTAATGATTACAGCTCCTAGCAGAATTAGACCGGAAATATGACAAGAACAGCCTGGCTTTGTTCAAGACACGGTAACGAGAAACACAGTTATCAGAATGCTATCAGAACGAGTACACTTTTTTTATGTGTCATGACTCTTCATGACGAAGGCGATCATGACCTTCCCCATTTCCCTGTCTTTTTTTCCTTTCAGTAAAACTTGATACTTCACCGTCCTCTTTGTCTTTGTTCTGCCATCCATTCATAGACATTGATTAAGTAGGTTACTTGCTATTTCATTCGGTTTCTCTTGACTTCAGTACAATCCTGTGAGTATTAAATTCTCCAGGTCTTCTTTCCTTATTATGTGATCCACAAATCTCTCTTTCTGATTGTCTTTTTTTAACAGTTGGGTTCACACTATAAAAGGCTCGGAGGCCACTCAAGTTAGAGGGTTACGTTAAGGTTTAGTTTATATGGATAGGAGGGAAAGATAACGGTTTACGCTAGAGTAAGTTAAGATTGTAGTGATCGGGGAAACATCTTCTTGGGAGTCTGTTCCACATGGCAGTGGTTCACAGGAAGAAGCTGCTTGAGCGGAACTTACTTCTAGTTTCTATTTTCTTGTTGAAGAAAGATCTATACCTATGCTTCATGGATTACACAAAAGTGCCTAGGTAAAATACGACCTCTTGAAATATTAGGAAAACTTGATCTACACGGAAAAGATAATAATACTAAGAACAAACTAGCATGAGAACGAGTTTAGTTAATATACAAAAAACAAGTGGAGGATTACGACAATGATGCGTTTTATACTATTCTCTACACAATACAAGCCCCAAGAGCCATTTAAGGTAGAGGGTTATTGAATGATTTTATTGTAAGAGTTTAAAATGTGGAAGTAAGAAGTGCATATTATGAAAACATATAGAATAGATAACGGTTGACCCTAGACTTGAAGATTTTAAGATCGTAGTGATCGAGGAAACACTTTCTCGGAAGTTTATTTCACAACATAATAGTTGTGAAGAAGAAGCTGTCTGAGTGGAACATCTTCCTTACCAATGGAATATGTGGATGAGTCGACGTTATCTACAGGGCATGGCGGGTCTTAGTTGTGAAGGTCTGAATTGGGACAAAGGAATGTAGCTCGTCATGAAAATAGCGACAGAATAATGGGAGGCTAGCAACGTTTCGTCTGTGTGAAAGAATTTGTAGGGTAGAAAATAATTATTCATCCACAATGCCACGTTAACGCTTTTGAGCGTTTTGAGCTGTCAAGACTGGAAAGTGAGGATTAAGCAGCTCCAGGCCAAATATGGCAGCAACAGTGCATGTAAGAAGGAGTCAGGTACTTACTGGATTTGTACAAGGAACCGATCATTTTTCTAGCATCATTAGCTAGGTCGTATATACGATATCTGTTCAGATTTAACCTGTACACAGAGACGGTCTTTAGAGGACTAGATTTCATTGATTGAGTCATTTTTTACGGTTTATCAACCTCTTAGGTTATTTAAAGCTAGAAAATATTTTTTACATTCTAGTAATTTTTTGGAGATGATAATGATTTACTCATATAAGTCCTACTAATTAGGGCGGAGAACAGGTAGGGTTATGCCATTCCCAAGGGTGTATTCGCAAATGTAACGAGGCCGACCGGAATTGGAACTCGGGTCTCCGATTTTAAATTCCGAGGAGTTATCCATGGCATCTCCCGCACATCCAAGCCTACAGCACAAGGTATTCCCAATTGGTCACTCATTTAAGTACTGACCAGGCACGTCGTTGCTTAACATTGGAGATCGTACGAGAATCAGCGTTTCAACGTGATATGGCCGTAAGCCAAATTGAAAATATGTAACACCTCAAAATCACATGGAGGACTCTATCCATCAAAGAAATCGACCAGATCTTCATGGTGGCTCTAAGTCTTATTGATTGACTTGGCTAAAAAAAAGTAGGACATGAAGAAAAACTCTAAATCATAATAATAATAGTGACTTTACTATTCATACTGACGGCCATAGTAAAGCTAAGAGACCATATAGTAATTAAAGCAAAAAGTAAAAAAGAAAGCCTTCTTATATACAGGATGCGATTGATAAATTTCGATTAAATTACGTCAGTCAGTCAGGCATCTGTCCGTCTTGGGAGACGATGAAGTAGCGCTTATTCTTTTCTTTTTCCACAAAAAATTTTAGGCGATGGAGTTACATCGCCTCTGGTGACTGTGTAATCCCACTCTAGAGCGGCAGTCTCTCAGGTACTTGGCGCAGATGAAACTGGATGACACGGAGACGGAGGCTTTCCTTGCTTTTCTCCTGGCTCTCTTTCCTGCCTGTTGATCTTCCATCGCGGCCTCTGCAATCGTAACGCCGTCTCTGACTGTGGCTCTCCAAACCTGACGATTGTCAGCCGTGGCCTTCCCAGGTGTTGGGGTCGATGTCGGCCAGCTTCATGTGTCGTTTTCAGACATCCTTGAAGCGGAGCTGACGTCTTCCAATTGGCTGGGACCCCCCCCCACACAGCTCTTCGTACAGAATGACTCTTGGAATGCGGCCGGCACCCATGCGGCGTACGTGCCCCAGCCATCTGAGACGTCTTTGGCAGAGCAGCGAGAACAGTCTGGGGATGCCGGCACGTTGGAGGACCTCTGTGTTAGTGACCCAGTCTTGCCACTTAATACGCAGGAGACGTCTAAGACAGCGGAGGTAAAAAGTGTTTAACCTCTTCTCCTTAAATTACGTAATCATGAAAATAACACTGACATCACATTTTAACATATATAATTGCCAAAATTACACAAAAATATCTTGAAATACTTTATTCAATAAAATCGCCATTGGCTTCAACCACGGCCTCGAGATGGACCGTCTCCTTGTTTAAGTTGGTAAATGATGCCAAAATCCTTGCTTTCGGTTGATCTTTGGTGTTACAAAGAGTTTTATTGGTCCCTCACTCAACTGCGCCCCACACATGATAATCAAGGGGGTTGCAGTCTGGGGAGTTGGATGGCCAGATGTAAGAGGTGGTGTGGTCGCAGAAATTGTCTGACAGCCATGATTGGGTCCTCTTGCTTGTGTGACATAGTGCAATGTTATGTTACCACACATAGGGTCTTCCAGCAGCCACCCTCTTGACCCAGCCCAACACTACCTTCTTAAGGCACTTGATGTAGGCCTCCGTGTTGAGTCTGAGGTTCCCACAAACAAATTCGGAAGTTCTTTTCTTATCAGAACGATGAGTGAGTTTTCCGAGCTGACCTACCTTCGTCATCACGATTAGACTCATCCGACTCTTTCCGAATCTTCTGCACTATCTTTAAATTGACACCCAAACACTCTGAAATGTTCGTATTCGAGTTTCCGGTTCGAATGTCATGCCAAGCAGAGTGAATTGCATCATGCTGCCCAACTGACTCTACTATATTGTGCAGTCGACAAAAAAAAACAAAAAAAAAAAACAACAATAACGCGCATGCGCGAAATTAATATCGCACCCTGTATATGATAGTTCTGTAATTGTTTCTGCCTGTATAATGAAGTGTATTGTGTCGTTACTAATGATGATAACACGAGACTTGAATTGTCATTACTTAACATTTTATTCACTCCAGTATTTCACCAGTTACTCTCGGCCAGTCTGTCGTATGTGAGAAGCCTAGGGCGCCACTTGTCCAACACGTGGACCTTACACTGTTAGTCTGCGACATAATGGAGATTGCCCAACGACTCTCTAGGCTTACGGCCATATCACGTTGGAACACCGATTCCCGTACGATCACCGAAGTTAAGCAACGTCCTAGAGGGGTGACCGCTTGGGAGTACCAGGTGCTGTATTGCTTGGATGTGTGAGTGGTGTACTCGATAATGACTCGCAATTTTTAATCGGAGAGCCGAGTTCCAATTCCAATCAGGTGCGTTATATTTACTTATGTGCAAATACTCTTGGGATTGATATGAATCCATCTCTACTCCTCCCAGCTATGGGTTAATTAGTAAAGCTTGTATTACTAAATCATTATTATATAAAAAAAAATCATACACTCTCAAAATATTTGTTAACTTTACATAAATTGCGAAAAGTTGACAAGCCGTAGAAAATAAATGAATCAATCAAATACTGATTAGCTACACAGGCATGTCTTTTAGATTTATTTACATTCTCTGGAATATAAATGTATAGAAACTACGGTGGCCACAAAGTGAGGGATCAGTCTATATATTAATTGTTATATAGAATTGGACTTCCACTTTATGTCCACATTATAATTTCTTGTTTATTCATCAATATGCGTTTTAGTATAGCTTGTGTCACTAAATCATTATTCTCTAAAAAAATTCTTACAATCTAAAAATAACTTTCTGACTTTAAATAACCTGCAAAGCTTTTGTGATGTCAACGAACACTCGTTGCCACTTTTGTAATGCCAACGAATACTCGTTGTCACTTTCGTAATGCTCGTTGTAGTAGAGACTTTGTAATCGCAGATACAACTATAGTAACGCCGTTGAACAATGATGGTGTCAGACACCTCCGAATATCACTCGCACTAATAGTACTTGCTCGATAATACTCGCTCGAATAGTAAACCGTATAGTGATCCGAATGAGAAATAGTATAGTGAATAGAGTAGAGAATAGTGGTCTGTAAAGTAATAGAGGATTGAGTAGAAATAGAGATCCGAATAGTAATAGAGGATAGACTAGAAATAATGATCTGTATAGTATAGAGGATAGACTAGAAATAATGATGAATTAGACACAAGCTACCTCCCATATATGCGTTTCTCGCATGGTCACGTGATCCTCTTACTTTAGGGATGGGATCATCTGTGTTTGCTCGCTAGCGATCTATGTTCAGACTCAAGTGTCGGCAGCGACACTTTATTCCTATATAGCAAAAGGATTGATAAGCCGTAGTAAACGAATCAATCAATCAATGAAAAACCGTAATCGCTAATAGATCTCATTGTTTTACTGTAGAAATATCTACATGTTGCCCTAAGTAATATTCTAACAGTTTATTTTCTCGCACTTCTCACTTGTGGAACTCTCTTCTGGTTTCTTGTTTTTCTGCCACCTAGGATCTTCAAAAAATTAAATACAACGTCCAGTTTCCTTTTTCTATCTTCATGAATCCAGTTTCTTTATTGTCCTGTTCCTCACTAAATTCTTCTCATTCATGTTCACTCGCTGTAATCCCTTGCGTCATTATCGCCTTTCTTGGGGTAAAATGATTAAAAAAGAAAAAAAAAAAAGAAAAAAAAGAGACAACTAGTTTTTATCATTTCACTGTTGACAAAGTGTTGTGACTTTGTTAGGGCCGGGAATAAAGACACACAGTGAGGAAATGAGTTAAACAAATATATTAACAGAAACAGTAATGCAAACATATACAAACGAGATTGTTACAGCAAGAATGTTCAGTCCGACTGTCAGAGCTAATTGCTCCAAAAGGCAGTACCTGCTCCTATTTATAGCTGGGAGAGCCCATGCTTGCGTGGGTAAATTATTATAATACAAAGCTAGATATAACTGTAAGTTTCTTTTCTCGCACTTCTCTCTTGTAGAAATCTCTTTCGTTTTCTTGTTTGCTTGCCGCCAACAATCTTCAAAATTTAAAGCGTAACATCAATCGCCATCTTTTGTCTTCCTGAAATATGTTCTTTTATTCTCGACCACTCCCAGCAACCCCCTGTGTCTTGCTTGGAGTGAAATGATTAAATTAAAAAGATTATTTGTCCTGAAAGAATGCTTCCGTGATAACTACAAACTTGGTCTTTTTAAGTACAGAATCAACCGATATCTATCCCTCAATGCATTTCTTTATTCTGCCTCCCTTACTCAGTAAAACTCTACATTGAGTGCCTCTTGGGCCTTGTATTGGGTGAGCCAAGGGTGTGAAAAAAAATGACGTTAATGGGAACGCAGTCTTGTTTCCTGTTTTGGGGAATCGTATTTGTTTTGTGTTAAGCGGGAAGGAAGAGGACGGGTGGGTGGTAAAGAGATGGGCAAAAATAGAATCAGTTGTTGGGCGGAAACAATAGAACGTGAGTGTGCATACGAATTTCTGAAAAAGAGAGAAAGATAGAAAGAGAAAGCGAAAGAGAGAGAAAAAGAGAAAGTGAGAGAATTTAGTGTCAGTCTTAGGGTGAGAAAGAGAGAGAGTTTAATTCCGTTCTTATAATAAAATAAAGAAAGAAAGAAAGAAAGATTTAACTGCTTCTCATTTAGTAGGTGAAAGGGCGTTCGAAAGATGAAGAGAGATAGAGCGACGTTAACGCCGTTGATTTTCTAGGAGAAAGAGACAGTTTAGTACAGGTTTTAAGATAAAAGAAAGAAGGGAAGGAAGGAATAAAGAAAGATTTAACTGCTTCTCATTTAGTAGGTGAAAGGGCGTTCGAAAGATGAAGAGAGAGAGAGAGCGACGTTAACGCCGTTGATTTTCTAGGAGAAAGAGACAGTTTAGTACAGGTTTTAAGATAAAAGAAAGAAAGGAAGGAAGGAATAAAGAAAGAAAGAAAGAAAGAAAGAAAGAAAGAAAGAAAAGAGGAATTAAGGATGGACGAGATGAAGGAAAAAAGAAAGAGAGAAAAAAGGAAATAAGAAAGAAAGAAAGAAAATGGAAATAAAGAAGGAGAGAAGAAGGATTTTGGTGCTGCTCTTTTGTTAAGAGAAACTTTCTTACTAAGAGAAAGAGAGAGAAAAGAATTTAGCGTCTTTCTTGAGAAATCTATTTTCTTGAAAAGCTGTTTTAAGAAAAAGATTTTATAAATTTCAGTGGACAGTCGTGTTGGCTGCTCGGCCAATGAATACCGAATGTTTTCTTTTAAGGAAACAATTAATATTATCATTAACGTTAAAATTTCTATCAATGGAGCATGTAGACGCACGAAGGTTTCCAAAGACACGCGACACAAGAAAGGAGGATAAGTTGACCTTTTTTTTTCAAGCATTTCACCCCAATCAAGGTTGGATACCACTAGTACGCAAGGGGTTACAGAGTGGGAGCGAGAGTAAAGAGGCGTGATGGAGGAAAGGATGAAGAGAAGGCCGGTGAATAGATCAAGGCATCTTGAATATTTGAAGATTATAGCTATCAGGGAAACAAGTAATAGGAAGGGAATTCCTCAGACGGAAGGTGTGAGAAATGAAGCTATTGGAGTAGAAGAGACGGCTACATTTAATAGTTTCGACAATGAAAAGGTGGGACCGTGATGCCGGCCTAGTAGCACGCTTAAATTCATGTAGTCTGGGAACTAGCGAAAGTAGCTCGTTGGAGCAGTAAAAGACAGAAGGAGGCGACGGCACGTCTGTGAGAGAGCGACTGTAGACGAGATGCCAGATCAGGACCAACTACATTGCATATCTGTCTCTGGATCTTGTCGAGGACTTTAAGGCGAACAGCGAGGGCACCAGACTGTATATGGAAACAGTATTCCCTGCCAGGGCGAATGATTGATTTATAGATTTGAAGAATGGACTCAGGCGAGAAAAAATTTCTGGTGCTACACAGGGAACCAACTTTCCTTGCGGTGGATGAAGCTATTAGAGAGAGAGAGAGAGAGAGAGAGAGAGAAAGAGAGAGAGAGAGAGAGAGAGAGATGAGGCAGAATATGTATCCGGAGAGAGAGAGGGGGTGGTATGAAAGGAGAGAAAATCTGAGGTAGGATACAAACACAGAGAGAAAGAATGTGTGTGTGTGAGTATATGTGTGTGTGTGTGTGAAGGAAAGAGAGAGATGAATGAAAAGAAAGGAAGAGTATGGAATGTGAGAATTACTGAGAAAAGATATATGTACACAAGAAAAAGGGTATGTGTGAGAAGTAGATATGAGAAGAGGAAGACGAAAGAAAACAAAGAAAATAACGAGAGAAAGGGATAGACACAGTCTGCGTGTGTGTGTGTGTGTGTGTGTGTGTGTGTGTGTGTGTGTGTGTGTGTGTGTGTGTGTGTGTGTGCATTTAAGAGAAAGACAGAGAGAAAGAGGGAGAGAGAAATCCCAAGATAATGGGGATAATAAGGAGAAAAGAACCGGGGCAGTTATGGACTAAGAGAGAAGAAGAGTATGGATGGAGATAAATATTGACAGGGAATGTGGATACACACACACGCATACACACACGCACACACACACGCACACAAAAGAGAGAAAGAGGGAGAGAGAAAGAGGGAGAGAGAAAGAGAAAGATAGAGAGAGAGAGAGAGAGTGGGAGAGTATGCGAAGAGAGGAAAACAAAGATATAAATAAAGAAACGAGAGGAAATAGAGTCAGTTACAGTCTGTGAGAGTGGGTGGTGAAAAATATGGTAGTAGAGAAAGAAAGGAAGATGTGTAGAAAGAAAAGAAATGAAAAAAAGACAAAGGAGAAAAGAATAGTATGCGTGTGTGTGTGTGTGTGTGTGTGTGTGTGTGTGTGTGAGAGAGAGAGAGAGAGAAGTGGGAAGAGGGGAAGGTTTCACGTGTTGAGTCTTTTCCTTTGAAATGAAGTCATGAATATCTTGCCGTGTTCGACCTGTCAAGTTTTGCTCTGAATATATCTTTTTTGTTTTGCTCTGAATCTATCTTTTACGTTCTCTAATTTACATTAGTCACGTTTCGGCCGGATGAAGCTGGGCAGTAAGCTTTAAAAGATTCATTGACAATTCGAACGATCACGCTTCAGAAGTTCACGATTTCAATATTTATTTCTTAAGGCAGGACAATATGTTAGAATTCAGATACGCCCGCGCTAAATTTAATAATCAGTTTAACAATATAATAAATACTAATAATACATACATACATACATACATACATATATATTTAATTTAAATGTCCCTTGAGTGATTGTATCACCAATAGAAAAAATAATATTTATGTTGGTCACACTACAATTACGTTGTCTCGGAGGTTGAGTTTTCATTTGAATGATGCATCTAACATTTCTAAGCATTTACAACAACATGCCTGTCCACATTCGCAATTTAGACAAATTATTGTTGAAAACACATCTATACTTTTTTAAATGAAAATAATAAACCAAAAATTATTGAAGCTATCTATATTAAAACATTGAAACCAACTCTTATGAATGCTTATGAATATTGCGCAAATGTTTTAAAATGTTTACAGTAGATAGTTTAAAATATCTAGGTTTTAACTAATAGCTTAAAATAGGTTTTAAGAAACAGTCATCTTAATAACTTAGTTTAGTCCCTTGATGTTACTGCACAAGCATGCTTACATCATAAAATGTAAAAATCGTATAGTACATAAGTTTAGCGATTTTTCACTTCACAAATAAAAAAAATAATTTTCAGATAAACACAACAAAATTGTCTTAGATAAAACAAAAGCCTGATAAGACAAAACTCTGAAGATGACATTTTGTTAATGTCGAAAGTACTCAGAATAAATGAATATGCAACAATATGGTAACTTTCTTTCTTCCTTTAATAAGGATACCAAGAACTTTGTCGGTGAATATGAGAGGATCATATTAAAAATAAATAGACAAAAACTTGTCTAAATTATTTAATGAGGCATGTTTTAAAATATATATATATATATATATATATATATATATATATATATATATATATATATATATATATATATATATGGGGTGTATGTGTAAAAAATTCAGATATAAATAAAAAGAATCTTTATGATAAAAATATAGTTTTAAGGTATGCTATATTTATGGGTTAAAATACTCAATATCAGGGATAGAGCGTATGTAAATATAAAATTGGACACCAGCGGCGATAGTTTCATGTTTAAGCGCAATCAGGCTATGTGCATTGTGTTTTGGCTCGACTATTTATATATGCTGGTAAATGGTGCATTATTGGTAGATTTATTGTATTATCCTAACAGTAATTAGGTGGGCAGTGAAGATTGTGTTTAAGAATGAATGATATATATATATATATATATATATATAATCGACTCTCCCGTCGAGATTCGACGTATGAGGGTCAAGCATATCAGTTTCCATGAAACCGACAGCCCGACACCGGCACATGAGATTTGATTATAGTGGTGAAGGCCTCGTGCAAGACCATCCACACTTTTTGAAGGACGAATACAGAGACCTGGTGCAATTGAATGCCACAAGGCATATATATATATATATATATATATATATATATATATATATATATATATATATATATATATATATATATATATATATATATATATATATATATATATATATATATATATTAAGCATTACTCTTCAAGTAAAATTGAATTGAGTGTTACCAGTCACTGGCGTATTTCCTATAGAGAAAAACATTAAAATTCCCTTCCTTCCCTGCCGATGATGGCCTAGAGGTAAAATATTTGACTGATGTCAAATCAGTTGGGTTTCGATCCCGGCTTGATGCAATGGGACTTCTACCCACACTGAGGAGCTTTGATACAAGGAAACAGTCTGTCCGTGGATGAATTTTTTATCTATATATTTTTTTATTTTTTTTTTTTTTTATATATATATATATATATATATATATATATATATATATATATATATATATATATATATATATATATATATATATATATATATATATATATATATAGGACAATCTGAATAAAGACAACAGGAGAACCTTTCTTTACCTGCGCGTTTCGTCCTCTGATGAATTTTATTGAAGTTTTCTCCTGCCTAGGAGGGTGGGGGCACAGGTTCGAATCCAGTAGAAGACCACATATTTTTCTTTAATAAGATTTCTTGGGTATTCAAGCCAGTAGACGAAAATAGATATACAGTTTAATAAATAAACAAAGCGTCTAGTGAAATGTAGGTATACACTGAAAATAATGTTAATAAAATCTGTCGAATTAATAAATAAAAATCCAACGTCACAACGTTTCGGCCGTTTTACGCTCCGGTCTTCTTCAGGTGAAATCTGTAATAACTACTATTGCAGATTGAAAGATATATATATATATATATATATGTGTGTGTGTGTGTGTGTGTGTGTGTGCACGCGTACGTGTGAATATATAATGTCGTACATTGAGTGGTGGGGGTTAATAAAATAGTGCTCGATGTAGAATAACAGAGCTATAAATTATATGCAGAGCTATAAATTATGTATTAGTAATAAAAATACATTTTTTCTTCACCAGTGACATGTATTTTTATTATATATATATATATATAATTTGAACTTTTTTTTATAGTGGGCAAACATATTTATATTTATTAAACAGTATGTCTATTTATTTTCGTCTACTCACCTGTATGTTCGAGAAATATCATTAAAGAAAAATATGCGCTCTCCGGCAGGATTCGAACCTGTGTTCCTCAAAAAGGGAAAGCGTTGTTAGGTCCGATGTGCCTTAACCGACTCGACCACAGAGCAGCATACCGGCAACCCGGAAGATAGAAATTTCTTTCAGCTACACAAGAAGAAATTGCAATATCCTGAACCAATTTGGAAACTAAAATAATCAGCACATGTGTTATGTTTTAAATCATTAAGAAACTATAATCAGGGCCTTGTCTCCGGAATTACGCAATTATATTAGACAGGAAGAAACTGGAAGCAGCAAGTCGTTGAAAAACGGCGCGACAATTGTTGTGCGAGTCAGCCAGAAATTATTTATGCAGAAGTGACCAACAATAAAATTTCACCCGGGGACAAAATGTTATTACAGCAGCCGAAAATTTTACTAGAACCAAAACGAAAATAGAGGTAGTAGGTAAAAGTAAACTAAACATTTAGAATGGAAATAAAAATGAAAATTATATAATGAATATTTTAAAAATCTAATTTACAATTTTTACTCATTTAACGACTTAGCCATTTTAATGACTCTCGGACATACGACCAACTATAAATTCGCAAAATAAATGATTAAAAAAACAAAACAAAACAAATCCAACCAGTTGGATTTTTATACGTTGTACGAAAACATTAATTATGATTATTTTCCTTCCTATAAAATGAATAAAAATAAGCTGAAAAATAAATACAAATTTACTTGTCTTGTTTTAATGCAACTTATAGTAACGTAAAAATATGGAGATAATTTTCGAATTTATTATGTTGATTCTCCAGTATACTATTGTAATATATAAACATTGAGAAATAATCTAGAATGCTAAAAATGATGCAAAAGTGACATTAAAAACTATTGTAAGTCGCTATACGCGTAATATCACTTAACTATTAGTCATGTATAACTTCACATTTAGCGATCAAGTTGTTAGAACGGAATGCAGTCGGTAAGTGAGTAGTGGCTGTAATTTAAAAAAAAAAATATGAGCAGTTTTAGGTGTAAATTTTATCTCCTCTCCCTCTGTCTGTGTGTGTCTGTCTGAATCTCTCTCTCTCTCTCTCTCTCTATATATATATATATATATATATATATATATATATATATATATATATATAACGGGGGATTTGAATAATCATAATTAATTCATCAAGTCTAGAAGAATCCTCAACAGAATGCAGAAAGCACTGGACAGCTGTTTCACCCTATTTTGGGCTCATCAACAGTGTGCATCCACTACTGAGAATTGAACCTGGGCCATTACGATAAGACACAAGCATCATACCCACAGGACCAATGGGTCTTGTTAATGGAGAGATAACAAACCAGACTTATTATAGCGCCAGCTCTTCAAAAATTCTGTCGTGTGATTCATCTGAGTCTACTTATACTAGTGGACTGTGCCCCCATGAGTCATGTCTTCTATCAGTGGGTATGATGCTTGCATCATATCGTAATAGTCTAGGTTCAATTCTTGGCAGTGGATGCACACTGCTGATGAGTCACAAAATAGGACGAAACAGCTGTCTAGTGCTTTCTGCATTCTGTTGAGGATTCTTCTAGACTCAATGAATTATATATATATATATATATATATATATATATATAACGTGGGGGGCACAGTCCTATGGGTAAAGGAACTCGGATGTTCCACCACGAAATATGTGAGTGAGAGGCGCTATATCGAGTCTGATTTGATACTTTTCCGTCACCGAGGCCCGTTGGAACAATTGGTATGACGTTTTCATGATAACGTAACTGTCCGGGTTTTAATTCTCGGTAGTGGATACGCACTGCTGATGAGTCCCAAATATAGGACGAAACGGCCGTCCAGTGCTTTCTGCATTCTGTTGAGGTTTCTTCTAGACTCAATGAATTACTTAATTATATATATATATATATATATATATATATATATATATATATATATATATATATATATTCAGATAGAGTATATCTGTAGAGTAACAAAATGAATAAAAAGAGATAAGAGGAAAAGCTATAATTAGCCAACACGTTTCGTCCTCTGAGGGACATTATAAAGGCAATCTGTTTGTATACAAAAGCGAGGATGTCATTGGTTTATCAAAGCTTTTAAATTTCGGAACAATCATTAATATTAATCAGGTGATTGAAAGGTCATCCAAAACATATGGAGGACACAAAATGTCATAATTCAAAGTCTGGTAAAAAGTAAGAGACTAATATTCAAATTTTCTTTTTAAATGAATGTTGTTTAGATTTTGATTAGATTGTTTCCAAATCTTTCCTTTCCTGAAAGAATTACTCCTCTCCCAAGCCAACATACACGACTACGAATATGTTGAAAATTCTAAAGAAAACGATTATATCCATTAGCTCATGTTTTTGAAGATGTACAGCACATACGTCCAAAACATAACAATCTGATCACAATATAAACAATATTCATAAAAAAGCTGCGTCGACTGAGAATAGTTTTCTCTTCCCTCTTATATATATATATATATATATATATATATATATATATATATATATATTATATAAATATATAAATTGGATTCGAGAATAAAACAGCATTAACCCCAGAATTTTGAATCCGTCCTCCAGGAATAGCCAACTGACTAAGAGTTATGGTTCTGCTATTGCTGAACATTTAATAAATAGTAGGAAATGTTTGGAAAATTTTGGTCGTGACCTATTCATAATTTTATCTAGGTCCCACTCCACATTTCCCCTCAAGGTTCTAGAGTCCTTGTATATCAGATCCCGTGAGCCTTCCCTTTGTAAACAGAGGGAATGCTTGCTGGGTCTGAATATTATTGGACTCTAGTTTCTTGAAATTCATAATTTTTTTCCCCATTCGATTACATTCGCTAATTAAAAATTAATTTACACGCTTTTTTAAATTCACAGAATAAATAAACTTGATAAGTCCTGGGACGAAACCAGTTGTTTTATTTTAGCTTTTGCTTTTAAAAATGCCTTATAAATATTGTCTTTTCCTATCTACTATTGTAGGGAGCTACCTACAAATGGACTCTTCCACACCTATATAATATGGCTACCAACTCTGAGTAAAGGGAGTCACCAAGTGAGGGTCACCAAGTAGTAACCATAGAGTGAGTGAATGAGTGAGTCAGGACACCAGTGAAAGAAAGTACTCTCCAGTCCACATTTACCTTTGTACTACGTTTCCGAGAATCTACTATTTAACCTTATATCCGAGTCCGTGTAATCTTTCTATGGTTCTACACCATAACATAAACGGAGACTTTAATAATTATTCATTTCGTTTATAATTTATTTCGTGAACACCGACGTGTTCAACTCTTCTGATCGAAATCCTGTCCGTATGTCGAAATGGATAATTAGTCTCCGTCTTCTTCTTATCATTATAATGCCCTGTAGTCTACATTGTGCTCTCCCTGGATTTATATCCTCCTCGGAATTATTCCTTCCAGTCACAAACTGGTAAGACGTATATATATATATATATATATATATATATATATATATATATATAAAGTATTTAGGCATCAAGAATTCATTCAAACATGTTTTATTAGACAATACATAGAAGGTATTATATAAAACGCAAATCAAACTGATGTAGCCATACTTATCAAATAAATATAGCGTCCATCAGTGGACGAAAAGTGTTGGTAAAGAAAATTTTTCCTTTTGTCTTTATTCATATTAATTTTTCGGATATATTCTATTTATATGCGAATATTTACACCTACACGCATACATATACAGTAGCGTCCAAAACTAAGGGACAAAATTTTAAAACCTAATATTTGTTAGAAATAACAACTGTGAAAAGCTGAAATTTTGACAACTGGTAGTCGTTATCATCCATAATAACATACTAAAATTTGAATCATTTGCAAAGGATAGAAAAAGAATTATAACAATTAT